GTGCATGTTAGCTTTCGTATGTCTGATCTAATAACATGAAGGTGTTTCATCTTTTAGGAAAATATTTTGGTACTGGATTGCTCAGTAAGTTATTTAAAACCTTAGGTTATATTTGAACAACTCTTTATTCAAAAAATATACCCAAAAAGACATGATATCAGGTCACCAGCAAATACAATGCTTACTAGATGACGTACAAGTATGAGGTACTCTTAAGCTAACCAAAGTGGAAGAAACATAAGTTCTGTCAGTCATCACGCCTTCATGATTATATCATTTCTTATCATGAGGAAGATGCCAGTAACATTATTTACAAAACCTAGAGTTGGGACACTAATGAACGTCAATAGGTAAAAACTTAGTTTGCTGTACCTCGCAGCTTACCTTGTCGACTAGTTGCCTTTGATATTGTTCAATTTTTAATGTCCCATAGATAGTTACCAGAATATCGACAAAGTTCTACAACCAATGTGATAACTAAAGAAGACAACAGAAAAGCTATAACTTTCTTACTATCAGCTCTTACAGATACTACAGATAATTGAGAGCGAAATGATGTAATGTGGTAAGAACATCTGTTAAATCAAGAGTGAAAAAGTCGACGAAACATACTTTCTCATTTTACAACTATACTCACAGTGAAAGGATCAGTTAAGGTCTGCATATGGGTTTCAAGGCTTTGATGAAAACGTTTACTACCATTGGAAGAGATAATCCAATACTGAGCGAAATTAACTGGAACAATGTCCAGATGGAAACCAGTAAGTGTTTGAGTTCTTCTGTGCAGAGTACTCAGACCTCTCCTTCTCATAATAGATCTTCATAATCTGCCCGCGATGCCTGAATTATCGACACTGAGATATCTCGATGAACCGCACGCTTTGAAAATAAGAAGCGAATCTTTCTACGCCTTTGTTGTGCAATCCACACCAAAGGGTTTATTATAAGCCTTGACTTGAAGTAATTTAGTCAGCGTTTGAAGTTTTATCTTTTTAAGGTTTGACGTTGGCTCTTTTGTTATCGCGACTTAAGTCTTTCTGTTCTAATTTTAACTGGATACTTCAGTTCTAATACGGTTCTAGTGGGAACTTTAAGTGAATTCTGAATAACATGGTTACAGATAGTTATGCTTGCGGTCAACCTAGCTTCAAATTCCCAGTCGACGAAGGTATACAATGTGATGCATGTGGATAGTGGTTCCACAACGTTTTTGCCGGATTAACGCCAACCATGCACCAGCGTTGCAGTAAACCAGCTTTTCCCTGGTTATGTGACTTCTGCTGCAAGCCTGTCAGCCCTAATTCAGAAAGCTGTTGAAATATCACTGGTTAAAAAGTGCTTATGTGGTAATGGTAGCTGTCATTCCAATGCGGCATCAGATGATGACACTGCAAGTGTTATTGCCAATACATCTGACAAGAGACTTGAAATTGAACAGTTTCGTACTAACGATCTAAGCAGTGAGGTTATACCGTGCGTAACGGACGTAGAAGGAAACTGAGAGTGATTGGTACACCAACTACGTTGCCCAAGGAATCACGGAAAGACAAAGTCTCTGTTAGCAACGTTGACGCTACGAAGGTGAACAATGAATGTGAGTGAATCTGTCCAAGAAATAATTCGAAGAAACCTCCAAAGGCCATCACTGAGGCCACCAAGCTGATGAAACTCCTCGAGAAGGTTCCGGAGGCCATCAACACGCGATTCAAGGATTTCCCACCAACTTCCAGCTTGACCTTCTGGAATGTTGAGGGAGCAAAGGACGAGGACCCTTCAATACGTCATACACATGATCTGAAACTGGTAGAGTCTGGCACCAGATGTATTCTACTTGAAACGTCCAATGAAGTACACGTCTCCAAACTAGTCAGATTAGGCAAAAAAAAGGATAACAAACCGGATGAGAGAAGGATTTCGAAGTTTGCTCTATGCGAAAAAGAAGTGGATATATTTTTGAGAAATTTGGATATGTACATCCAATCTGAATCGCCTTTTGGAGAAGAACTTAACAGACTTGAAGGCCCAACAAATTAATGGAGAAAACCTTAAAATTATGAATTTTCTGGTTGTGAGGTCTTAGAAACGAATGCTCCCAAGGTCGGTAAGGGGGGGTCATGGAACTCTTCAAACACACGTGAACATAATATAAACCAATATTCTCAGAATTAGAAGTAAAGAGAAAAATCTCAAGACTCTTATCTTTGAACTAAGTCCTGATGTAGTCACCCTCGCTTAAACCTAGCTAATAAAGGAATTAGATTTTGCTTCTAACAGGGTGTTACTGTTTAGGAACAGATAGGGTTGTAGATAACAAATGTGGCGGTATGCTAATGTATGTCCACGATGATGTCCACATACGATCAGTCACTTCAGAAGCTCATAAATGCGACAGCTGCTAGGTGGCCATTTGTAAGCCGAAGTAAAGGCAAGGGTGATTTACTGCAGTCCATCTTGCCTTGCAAATGACTTCGTGCTATCTCATACACGTAACTGGAGTAGGAGCAACAGATGCCTAATAGTTGGACATCTGAATGCTGGACGAAGCTCACAGTCTTGACCTTGGACGGTTCCTTTGAAAACGATTTACTTTTAACGGTTTGGGAATCTGCTTTAGTTCAAAACGTAACTTGTGCAACACGATACGATTTCGAACATAAGCCATGGTTATTAGATTTCGTTTTAACCCACCAATGTGAGGATATTATAGATCTGCAATACTTCCCTCAGTTAGCCAACAGCGATTATGTAGTGCTAACTCTCGGTTTTTTGAGCGTATGAGTTTGGTTATGACACTGTTTTCCCTAAACGTAATGTGTGGCGTGCAGACATTTCAATTGTAAAGGATTGAGCAATCCGTGAGTATTGGACTATCAATCAAGAACGCATGGGATAGGTTGAGAACTCTAGTCGTAGAAGTAACGACACCATTTATTCCATGGTTGACGCCACAAAGATCCTCACATAGCCCTCAGTGGTTTAATAAAGACACTGAGAAATAACTAAGGGGAAGGAAACGTCTGTGGAATTTATGCAAAAGAACTGGACTGGAAACATTTAAAACTGGGTACTGTAAACCTCATGATCTCTGCAAAACTTTGATTGTACAGTCCGGAATGTTCTGTGAGAAATGTCTCGTAAATGAATGCCAAAACTATCCTAAAAGACTGCTGGCATTCAGTAGAAAAGGGGCTGGAAGAAACATGGAATTCCCTCTCTGATGATGGATGGGAAGTCCGATAGCCTGAAGAAATCTAATCTGTCCAAAGCTGAATGTCTGTCTGAAGTTTTCTCCGTAGATCATGATGGTGAAGTGTCAGCACCGTCCCACCGACGCATACGGTGTTCATAACAAAGGAAACAGTCTTCTAGCTGCTCATTAGTCTTAAACCTGCGAAACCTCCGGGTCCCAATGAGTTGCACGCCAGACTACTATCTTTTCTAGTGAACATTGTTGCTGAGATAGTCACTGATCCTTTAAACGTATCCATATCTCAGACTTACCTCCCTAGAGACTGAAAAGATGCAGTAACCAACCCAGTTTATATAGCTGGTAGGGGCCAGTTAGTGGCTAACTTTCTCCCCAAGGGTCTAACTTACATAGTGATTAGGGTTTTAGAAAAACAACTCCTGATAAGGAACCTACCCATGTTGAAGCAAATAATATTTCTGCACCACAGGAACACGGTTCTCAAACTGGACACTGCTGTTTAAAAAACCTCCTCATCGTGAGAGAAGAATGAGTTTCAGTCTGTGGTTGCAAGCTGTCAATATACGCCGTGTTCATAGATTTCATTAAGGCACTCGATAAAGTGTTACGTGAAATTATCGGGAAAGTTCTCCTTTTTCGGGTATGGTTTTGCATTGCAAACTGGGATCAGAGACTTTCTGTACTATGGAAGGCCGTGGATGGGGGTTAATGGGATGCTGTTCAGGTGGAAACCTGTCATGAGTAGAGTTCCTTAAGGAACAATCCTAGGTCTACCATTTTTCTTGTCACATGTCAACGAATTCCCACAAATGCTCAATTTTTCGGTACCGTTTTCTGATGATGATGATGAATAAGTGTGGATGATAGGCATGCACTGCAAGTGGATTTGGATGAACCAGTAGGCTGGTCCAATTATTCATGACTGGAAATCAATTCTAGAAAAATTGCTACGATTTATATTGGCCATATTAATTGTTTGATCTCATACTGGTATTCCGTATCCTTAATCATGACTTCAGGCCTGGTATATCCTACCTTTTTTTTCCTTCTGGGATTGGTTTCCTCCAGGGGAATCACAACAAAATCAGAGAACCGTGGTTGAATCGACTGACTGCGAATCTGCGTTTCTCCTACCGTGTGGTCAACGCCTGTAACACCTTACCTCACTAAGTAGTGCCAGCCCATTCGGTCGGCTCCTTCACAGTAAAATAACATCTTCACAGAGATATATTCTACAAGAATTAACACAGGAAAACTAGTCCACTATCTTTATTACTGAGAAAAGAAGACCAAAATAGACTTCTCAGGAGCTAGTGACTACGAAGAGAGCTTGTCATGCACTCACACATTAACCGGGTTTCATACTTGACAACCCCATAGAGTTGAACTGAATACTGGTCAATACTGAATAACCTTTGTTTGTCATGAACGCATTATTATATCATGTATACACTCGGATGATCAAAGTGCAAAAGATCCTAGCTGTCGAAAAGAAACAGATGTTCAATGCACTCAATAATGAGAGCTTTTCAAGCAATACAAGTTTTACTGACCGACATAGATTTGCTGTTGAAATAACAATAATAATTCCACGATAGTCGCAAGAGTAGATGCTTCTTGGTTTCTAGTGAAACAAAAACAATAAGTGTATGCAACTCCATAAAAATATAACAGAACAACTATGTTACAGGTTAAGTCTATTTTGGTGGCACAACAAGTCATGAACAGATATTGGCATACATACTCATTTGAAAAATGGATAATACTTTATTGTCTCTCAACATACACTTACAATTATGTCTTCTCGAAAATGACGGCCACAAATTGAACACTGCACAAGAGTGATAGACTCCAGATCTACATCACCTTATCATATAAATTACTTTATGCCCAATATTCTTACCATCCATTTTGTGAATTCAATTATGGGGAAATCATCAAGTCAACATTGGTTTCTACTGCATTTCTTTGATTGGTACATTAAAACAAAATCGCATTCACTATTTCAACACCCTTAAGAGTCGAGAATGTTTTATTGTATCACTCACTTCGCAAATGTTTGATGAGAAAAAGTGTTTGTAGAATTCTTACAGTGAGTAGATAAATTTTTGCATTACATCATTCGGTGGAATTTCACTTAATTGTTAAGCTTAAGTGTATAATATAAGATGACGATATGATTGGGTAACGTTTTATCTGCTTTTTTGAATCTCTACACTCTCCTGGCAGTCGACTGAACTTCTATCTTCATACTTTTGATCACAATTCCCTTCTAAACTTGCAACCATTTCCCTACTTAAAAACGGAAATCAACCCACATCTGATAGCCGGACATTCTATCACAAGGGACATCTCGTCTTTGTCTCCTTCTTTCAACTGTTCCTTATCCAGCGGAGTATGGCTCAGTTTTTCCGCTGGCCACTAATAATGTGAGGTTGACGAACTGTGATTCAGGCTTCCAAGATAGCTGACTACTAGCTTATTTTAGCCCTTCTGTAGTGGATCTCCACTTCACAATTTAGTTTGGTATGCAGCAGTTAGTCTTGCAGACACTACTGGCGATGAGAGCTGGTTACAAGGGTTATTTTATCGGCCTAAAAGCCATTACTCTGCATAGAAGACTATCGTCCTTGTCGTTTTGTACTCTCCTGCCATCTCCTCTTGGTTGTTTCGACTTCAGATATCCAATATATGTTTAACAAGCTTGATTGGAAGATAAAGAGAATATAAAACAGGTTCAAAATAAACTCTTCGAACTGCGAATGGAGTGATTACGCTTCGTCGCTGTCCTTGATCCAGCAAGCAGAGGAGTTTTTGCACGTGATATCGTGTATCAGGCTAGCTACAGCAAGGATTCCATAAGTTCACTTGATGGTGGTCAGCGGGAGAATCCATCTATCTACAGTTAGAATTCTTTTGTGGACAAATCAGGTTGCGATCATAGAAGCCCACAAAAGTGGCAGCTAAATGCTTAGCATTACCCCCCCAATGGATCTTGCCGAAGCTTCAAGGCCTGAGGAAACCTTTGGCTTCAAGTTGGCACATTAGGTTCTTGAAGTACATGCTTAGTTATCATTTATTTTAGACGCATGAGACATAGTTCGTACCGCCCTGCAACAGCTTTCCGCCTCCAAATTGTGACTGCGATAATCCCTTTGAACCAGCCAAGCCTTCATAATTGAGACAACTCATAATTCATTGATTGCGTTGTTGCGTATGCAAGGGTTGACAATTTTAGCACTGTGGTGGAGTGGACTTCTGTGGTGATATGCTGTGGGTTTAGGGTTCGTGTCTGCTCCATAAGATGGAATTCAATGTTTGGAAGAATTTGCTGATTCATACTCAAGCATCAAAATGAATACAACACTGCTGGTGCGCTTTCATTTACGCACCAGATAAACTTCGCATACAGGGGCGGAATAGTGATGCTAATGATATGTATTCCTGAATTCCCAGGTGCGAATCACTTTTACGAACATGATTATTACATTAAGTGACGAAACATTTTCGCCGGCATTATTTATTACTTCTCCTTTAACCTGGATAGTGACAATCCCCAGGCTAAAAGAAAGATTTCACATTACATACAAATAATGCATAATAAACTTTTCTGGCGGAAGTGAAAATCGTGTTCAATGATTACGTAAAAGCCGCATGCGAATAAGAGAGCGAAGCAATTGAACAAGTTCATTCTCAATGAGGTAACTCCGGTTGATTTCCTCAGTTATAATAGTATACAGTCATGAGTCATTTTTAAAGGTATGTATAGATTCCTGCATAAATTGCATGATTATTAAGGGTGTGTAACTTCAGCCCCCAAATGTTAGTTAATCAGATGACATACGTGTTGCATGTCGTTAGGATGAAGCATGGCGGCAAAATGGGCATTCGCATACCGGCAAGATGGACAAGCGGTAGCACTGCCTTCATATTAGCAAAAAACCAGGCTTGTATATGAACATTACACGCATTGCCCGGAGAAAAACGAACCTTGAAGCTGACGCTTTCATTGTTGCGCCCCGTTTATTTTGCATAAGGATAACATGGAGACGATCGTGAGTGAATATTTGCCTATCCCCTACCATTTGTTGTCCTTTATTGACTGGAGAACCATATATTTCACACGTTCTCATACCAATGGACATGGAAAGTTCACAATCCAACCGAACATTAGACTGCTTTTCAGTTATCTGCTTTTTTCTATTCCGGCACCGAAACGCTTACAGGCTTGCTTGTGCATATGAGCTGAACTTCCGGGACACCTTGCTCGCCATTTTCGCAAGTCGTGGCATGTTGTTGTCGTATGAGATTTTGCTGGCCATTTCCATAATCAACAAATCACAGGTTAAGATAATTATGAAGGTGCAACCTTTAGAAAATGAACCCTTTCTAGACGTCGTAGTCGGCTGTTGCAAGCGCGATAACAAATCGGCCGATGGCGGATAGCTTCCACCGAAACTTGCTCGTTTGGGAACTTTCCAGTTAAATTCAAGCCCACATTTTGAGCTTAATCCTTTTGCTACAACGGGAAATGAAAATGAAGGGGCAGGCAGAGAAAAGAAGCAAGAATCCAAACAAGGAGGCTCTTCCCTATGTGCATTTAATTTTCCACTTAACTTTCTTTGCTATGACAAAAAGTTTTATATGCTTGTTTGTCAAACACTTGGGAAGATAGCATATAGGCTTTTGCATATTTTGTGACCTTTACCTACATTTATTATTGCGTCCGGAAAGGAGTACGTACCGTTAGAGTAGTTGGAGAATTTTTCCGGATGAAGGTTTAAATCAGAAAACCATGACATGGAAATGTGCTTCTTAGTTCCTGTTGCTTTTCGAGCGGATTTGGTCGTTTCAGCGGCATCTGATTTCTTCTTGACTGCCTTTATCACACCAACCGCCACAGTCTATATCCTGTCCCGAACAGTGGAGCGTGTTGTGGTGCGTATTGTTGGAACAGCTCATCACCCACTGGCTTCGATAGGCTTCGATATATGCCCCACCTTTGCTGCGTCTCTGGACTTGACGGACTCGGGGTCATCTTCTTAGAGGATCGTCTGTTCAACCTCCCCGCGATTTCGTGGAATTTGCATGTGATAGGGCTACATGGCAATCCCGGAGAGGTGAATAACCATCTTTGATTTCACCCGGGGCAATGAAGCTCGCAGCTTCCCTTAGAGGACCCCTCCTGGAATCTCTGCAACATTACCACGGCTAGCATCTTTAACAGACACCATCTTTACGTTGAATCCTACGCTGTTACCGAATAAGTCTTCACGCGGAGCTTCGTGGTGCATCTCACCGTGACGGAAACTGTGCCACCACAGATCCTGTGTACATTTATATGAGTGTAAAGATGACGCTTAGAGGTTGTTTGTGGATTCTGTAAACTCTTTTTAACTCATTCATTTAAGTGAGAGATTCTTAAGAAGCTTGTTATGTCCGTACGTGTTTAGTGAGGCACACCTTAGGCTGCCCCGTACTGGTGAGGATATTTTATTTAGGCTAGTTTTACGAACGCATTAGCTGCCTCCTCTGCGTTGTCGGCCTTTAATCTGGAAGTTAGAGCCCAGTAGGCTCGCTGGTCACTACATACCCTTGGCCATCTAGGACTTCAGGAAACTAAGCACGTTGAGTGTTGTGGAACATAGTCGCGCTGGACCTCACATGTTGCCGGAAGTTAGGAATTCGTCTTTAAAGTGGCTAGACTGAATGGGTGAGCTGCAGACTCTAATATCTACAGGGGGTTGATTCCGCACTTTGAAGAGCCCGATGGTGAAGAAGTTACCATGTAAACGTGTTCTAAAAGCTTTCATTTCTAATGTGTGCCTGATCGTGAAATTCACAAGGACCCGCCAGTGGGAATTGGAGTTGATGATGAAAATGATGCATCGCGCTGTCTTGAAGGAAAAACAAGATTAACCTTCATTCGTCTCATCCAAAGCGGTTGCAACTTAAAGGATATACATCCTGTCCACATTCGTGTCCTACCCGGTTAGACATGAAATACCTCGGGACGTCTTCTGTCCTGAATTTTTCAATAATACGGAAGCTACTCAGGATGCATGAGCAGTAGTTGAACAGTGGTCGCACGCAAATCTTTTAGAATGGAGGTTTTTGGTCATGAACGTAGGAGTTGCCGGCTATACAGCCTAAAAGAATTCTGGACATAAGGGCCTGAGTTGCAGTTTGTTCAGTGGATGTCAAATCACCGGAATCGTTCAGGCCCAACTCGACGACACTCTGGAGGCCAGACAGCTTCGAGGACTATGGACATAGTTGCATGTTAATGGTGGGTGCATCGAAGTACATCCAGTCACATTCTTTTGTGTTGAGTTGAAGCTTCTGCGCGGTGAACGAGTTGGTTACCTGGCCTAGTTCTCTTTGTTCGACTGTTCGAAGATAGCTTAAGTCGTCGACAGGAAGTGTGTAGACTATCCTTATGTCACTGGCAAAGAGGAACGGTTTACCATACGCGAAGCAGTCACACTAGTCGTCGACGAAGACGGTGGAAGGATAAGTGAATGGATAGGTCGACTAACAATTTAGTTCGGAAACGGACCAGTCAGAAAGTTTTTTGTGTCAACTACGACCATACTTATACTGACAGACAATCGACCGATATTATTATTTCTAAAAATGGAAGTGTATAGATGTGTTTCGATATATTCCACTTTTGATGATTGCATCGTAAAATGTTCAATGTCTTCAGGGTTGGCGCCTCACATACCGTAAGTTTCAATTTTCTTCGTTGCAAGGCGAGTGGCTGCCATGAGTTGGAGAACGTGTGTGTTTGAATGCAAACAGCATATAGTACGAACATACCCAGATACAATTCTAGATGGAGCCATAAATTTTGGGTGAAATGCCATAATAATCGTTAGGCAGCTGTTGGATTGTGAACCTGTCTATC